CTCCCCCCCCCCCCCCGTCCACTGGCCACAATTTTTCCAACTGCATCCTGGGAATTGTGGTTTCCTGTCGTAACGACTGTAACTTCATTACGTCATTGCCCGCCCCTCCCGCCCTTTACAAGGAGCCCAACTGAAGCCCTTGTGGAATAGGACCAAAAACAGTCGTGTTAAAATGTTGTTAAATAAAATGTTCCGCCCACAAAAATAATAAAACAGTAAAGTAGAACAATTTTACAAAATTCAACCAACATTTTTATGTACTGAATAATGTAATTTGTGTGTGATTTGTACAGTACAAAAATAAATGAACGGACGTACAGTGGAGTAGGAGAGGCTAAGTCAAAAAGTTATCAGACAAAATTAAACGTTTATTTATGAGAATAAAACATATTTTAACACATTTCTAAAAATTGTGGAGGATTATTTTCTTCTTTAACCCAAATGTGTTCATTTAAGCACTGAATCCATTCCCTTTTTTGAAAAAATCACATGAAGCTAGGTCAAAACCCATTGCTAAGTGTCGCTAACTTGTGCTCCTGGTTTCAAAATCATTTTTTAAGGTTGAAACGATTATAAAATCAGACAGCTTTAAAAAAAAGATTTGTCGCTATACTTTTAGCCTTGTATTTCACTATAACTCTTATCTTGATATTATTTATTAGCCTAGCGTTTGGTTTTTTTTCCCTTCAATGACCTTCGCTAGCTTTCGCAGACCAAACAGTCGGTTACTTCTCACATGTGCTCACGTTCAGATACTGGATATTTGATTCTATACTGAAATAAACATTTTTGACAAGATGAAAAAAAAAAAAATAAATGTGTTAGCATTTCCCTCCGATCGGATGTTTCGAAACAAATACGCACGTAAAAAAAAACAGTTCCAATTCAAGGCCATCTGTCACTGTCGACACCCGTATCTGTTGATTTGAAGTCAGAGGCCTCAGTCGTGTCTTTACATAACCATGAGGTGGCGTGGGGGGGGCGTGGGGGGGAGACCTCTCACGAACCAACAACCCTGGTCCGAACCTTCTGGAAAACGTAAAAGTATCTGATAAGGAAAGTCGGAAAAAAAAGTTGTTCCTTTAAGACGGTGAGCTTGATTAACTTTTTTTTTTAGTTAAAATAACCAAGATTTTTCTCACTTTAAAGTTCCATAGTGTAGCGGTTAGCACGTCTGCGTTTGATGCAGAGGGTCTCAGGTTCGATTCGCAGAAGAAGGTCACTTTGGATATTAGCGTCTGCTAAATTAAAATGTTAACGTTTAAGGTGAATTTCTAATGCGAAAATCTTGTCTTGGAACTTTTTTACTACATCCTTGTGTGATCGTGTGTCGTGTGTGCGCTGACGTCAATCATCTCCACTGAACAGGTTAGCATCATTTTATTTTGGGGTTTTTGTGCATCAGGGTGAAGGGGAAATCAGTGTACAGTACGATACGGTAGGGTAGTGTCATAGAAATACAACGAGGAACCGATGATTCACAGGCCGGTCGTTCACACTGGGGTGAGATCGGATAAAAGCAATAAATTAAAAAAGCGAAATCAACTGTGCCGTCACATCTCTCTCTTTTTTTGATTTGCCTGATTCTTGACGTGCAGTCAGTCTCCCGCCTCCTGTCTCCATCGCGTGCGCCGGGGGCCAAAAGCTCCAGGGACCTCCCCGTGTTAGCAGGCGTGAGCCGTCTCCATGGAAACGTTGTCAGCCATCCTCAGCCTGAGGTGGTTGGCAAACTCCACCTGCGTCTGCGAGAGCATTTTGTTGATGATCGTCTTCGGGATCCAGCCCTGTGGGTGAGGGAGGAAGACGACCGCAGTGGGTTAGGGTTCCAGGTTTTTGGTGTTTTGGTGGCGTTTGTACCAAAAGACATAGCTGACATATACAGATATATACAGTACATATATATATATATACATATATATGTGTATATATGTGTGTATATACATATATTCATATATTGTGTATATATGTGTATATATATACATATATTGCATATATATGTGTATATATGTATATACATATATACACATATATATTGCATGTGTATATATACATATATTGCATATATATGTGCATATATGTATATACACATATATACATATATTGCATATATATGTGTATATATGTATATACACATATATACATATATATGTATATATGACTATATATGTGTGTATATATACACATATATTGCATACATATGTGTATATATATATATATACACATATATACATATATTGCATATATATGTGCATATACTGTATGTATATACACATATACTTGTATATACAGTATGTGTATATATGTCTGTATATATACATATATACATATACTGCATATATATATATATATATGTGTGTGTATATATGTATATATATATGTATATATATGTATATATGTTTATGAGTTTAAGTAGTAAATGACGTTTTTGGAGCCACTCACCTTCAGATCCATGTTCAGTAACCAGGTGAACTTGGTCTTGTTGGGGTCGTCAGCACATGGTTTCATGACGATACATGTAGGACCGTTCTCTGCCCTGGAAAAAAATAGGTCATGAATTACACCAGGGAAACCAACATCCATCCAATACATCCATCCATCCAACCAACCATTCATCCATCCATAATCTGACGTCTAGCATATGATGCTAACATTTAGCTAAAACCTACTGTCTGGACTGTCTGGTTCATAAAGACAGATGTGTTAAAGCCCCAGTAGGTGGCGCCCGTGTCCGTGACTCACCTGACCACGCCGCTCTGCTCGGGCATCGTGGGATGTTTGGTGGACATCGCAGCCAGGAAGCAGGTGGAGCCTCTCCGTTTGGCACATCGGACACTGACGAAGTCTCTCCGGCCCAGCACGTTATCCGCAGGCTCACTGATATTTCTGACAAATTGAACCGTGTTCAGGGTCAGATTTCCAGTTTATACAGTTGCTGATGTAATTATGTGTAATCGGAGGGCAGCGATTAACTGATATTTTTGTGTTGGATTAAAATATATCCATATTTTAATCCAACACTTCAGATGAGAAACTGACCTTCTGTATGAGATGGCAATGATGTTGTTGTCATCTTTCAAGGAATTAATTTCTCTTCCATCCAGGGTGTCAGTGGTTGCAGGTACGGAAATGTTTAAATAAGTACAACACCCTGCTCTTTGGAGTTGAGTAAATTACCTGGGTCTTTATTGTCACAAATTGAAGTAATTAGGTCAAAGTCCACAGACTGTGAAGCCATTATTGGTGATTGATTGGTTGTATTGTGAAAAAGTGAAAAAAAGCTAGTTAATTGAAAAGTAACACAGTTCAATTCCCACCTCTCCTGTGGTACACACACACGTGTATATATATATGTGTATATATGTATATATATGTATATAGTACATACACATATACACAAATATATTGTATATATGTATATATGTGTGTATATATATACACATATATACATATTTGTGTATATGTGTGTATATATACATATATTGCATATATATGTGTATATATGTATATACACATATATACATATATATGTATATATGACTATATATGTGTGTATATATACACATATATTGCATACATATGTGTATATATATATATATACACATATATACATATATTGCATATATATGTGCATATATGTATATACACATATATACATATATTGCATATATGTGTATATATACATATTTTGCATATATATGTGCATATATGTATATACACATATACACGTATATATGTGTATATATGTGTGTATATATACATACAGTATATACATATACTGCATATATTTATATATGTTTATGAGTTTAAGTAGTAAATGACGTTTTTGGAGCCACTCACCTTCAGATCCATGTTCAGTAACCAGGTGAACTTGGTCTTGTTGGGGTCGTCAGCACATGGTTTCATGACGATACATGTAGGACCGTTCTCTGCCCTGGAAAAAAAAAGGTCATGAATTACACCAGGGAAACCAACATCCATCCAATACATCCATCCATCCAACCAACCATTCATCCATCCATAATCTGACGTCTAGCATATGATGCTAACATTTAGCTAAAACCTACTGTCTGGACTGTCTGGTTCATAAAGACAGATGTGTTAAAGCCCCAGTAGGTGGCGCCCGTGTCCGTGACTCACCTGACCACGCCGCTCTGCTCGGGCATCGTGGGATGTTTGGTGGACATCGCAGCCAGGAAGCAGGTGGAGCCTCTCCGTTTGGCACATCGGACACTGACGAAGTCTCTCCGGCCCAGCACGTTATCCGCAGGCACCTCGTGGGTGACCATCGTGTCCTGGCCGATTCTTTGAAGAATCTACAGCAGGTGGCGCCCGTCGGGACGTTTTTTTTAGCCTCAAACTGACTCGGAATGATATCGTACGAATCGTCGGATGATTTACCTTGACCTCTTTGATTTTGGGGTTCCACTCCCCCATCTGCTCCATGTTGCCCACCAGCTCCTGGTAAAGGTTGTCGGGATGTTGCTCCATCATCACCTCCAGCTTGAACACCTTCCCGATGTCTGGTATTTCCTTACTCAGGACCTTGTCTCCGTTGGCCTGCGGATGGATTTAAACACACGCCGGAGGTTTTTTTTTTAGGTATCTGCTCAGGACCCCGAAGGCAACGGTGGCACGGCGATCGTTTACTCACGTCTGCGATTTCAGTGGTCCAGCCGTCCTGCTCGCTGAGGATGCCGATGGCCCTCTGCAGGGCCTCCTCCCCCTGCTTGATGTAGGAGACCTCCTCCTCACTGAACTGCTCCTCCTCTCTGATCCGAGAACCTGAAAGAAAAGGCGGGAGTTGGGAATGTGGTTGGAAGAAACTTTTGGAAACAACAAATCAAATACTATCACTACTGTGATAGTACTAGTACTAGTACTTGAGTAGTATTTAGTCACTGTGGTAGTAAGGATTGTACTACATTGTCAAATCGTACTACTTAGAAAAAAACACATTTTTCGGACACTTTTTTTTTACGAATATTTTTAAACCTTTTAAAAAAGATATATAGATCTCTACTGTAGTACTACTACAGTACTTCAAACTTCAAATTGTATTTGCAGCTCTTGGTCAAAATATTTAGCCAAGACTCTCCAGTCCATCACATGTAGAGACCAACACCTATGATTGATTTAGAGCAGGGGTTGTCAAACATATGGCCCACGGACCAAAACCGGTTCACAAGATTGGTCAGTCCTCTTGATAATTTTTAAAAATAAAAAAAACAAAAAATTTAAAAAAATACGCGAACACTTTGCGTTCAGATTATTTATGTAAAATTATATTTTAATAAATATTAATAAATAATTTTTAACTAATAAACTTGTACTGTTTTGCATTAAAAACAAAGCAGAAAAAAAAACATGGACTTTACAGTCAATGATTATCATGATCGTACTGGTCCGGCCCACGTGAGGTCTAATCCGGTTGTACGCGGACCCTGAACCAACACGAGTTCGACACCCTGGAGAGTTACTTCATACGCAAATACCGCATTTCGGAAATACTCACTGAGAAGAGAGCTCCTCCTGCGAACCTGGCTGATCCAGTTACCGGGACTCGGACCCGCCAGTCGGTTCAGCTCGTGGTGAATGGCAACCATGGCGTTCCTTCTCAGACCTGGGAACAGGTTCAGGTGAAAAAAAAATTTAAATTTTAGAAAACTATTCTGGTTTCATTCGTCAATCTGCTCCGAACGGAACGGAACGGACCGACATTGAGGCCGAGGAGATCGCGACGAACGGGACTCACCGGTCATGTTCCTCATGTGTCGGTAGGAGATGCCAGCGCACAGCTTGAAGGTCGCAGGCAGCATTTTCAGGCAGAGGACTCTGGGTAAAAAAAAAATATTATAAAATATTTAACGAAGTTGTTGGCGCTCCTGAAAAGACCCGGATCGACGAGTGATGGAAGTCTCCGGAAAACGAGAGAGAGAGCGAAGGAAGGTGTCTGTCTGTAGGAGCTCCAGAGAGTCGGTCTTTATAAGAGTGGACCCACAAGGCCGTGCTGCTATCAGCCCCCCCCCATAAACATCCCCGCACCGGCCGTCTCGCCAAGGCTACGCGTTGACAAGGCGAGCCTTTCCTCTGACTCACAAACACAGTGGAAGATAACGTCCAGTACACACACAGACACACACACACACACACACACACTGAGTGATGGGAGTCCATATAAAGGTCAGTCAGTGACTCATCCTTCCTCCGGGGGGCTCCACTAACACCCACTGTGGAATCTTTTTTTAAACTTTTATTTATTTTTTTACTCACATTCTTCAGTCGTCGATATGTAAAAACGTTCATTTACGTCGACCGTCGTGGTGTGTGTGTGGTCGCAGAGTCGTGAGGTCAAGAACGATGAAGTCACCTGAGGGGCAGATGGAATCAGGGCAGATATTATCAGGGCCGTGATACTTTCTTTTTTTTATCTAGTACAATGACTCAGCACATACAGTACAGTCCGCAAAAAATACTCGCAGATATTCAGCTCCCTTTACGACTTCCTGTTGGAAGACTATTTTCTGAGCATTGACCTACAAAGGTTTCCGATCATTTTCTGCTCTGCGTTGTATTAATATAAATTGTTTATAATATCGACTGTTTTGTTTTTGTACATTTTTGTCAATTCTTTTTTGGGGATTACTGTTGATTTTGGGGATTATACCAAAAAGTTAATTGAATCAAAACATGTTTCGTTGTTAAAAAAAACTCTACAAGTTATTAATGATCATGACACGTTTTTTTTGGTCTTTTTCATAAATAGGTTTTATAAGTGAAATGTTCGGACAAAAAAAAAATTCCGGCGGATTATTCTAGATTACCGTGACGTTAGCGCGAAGTCGGCTCTGCGTTAATCTGATCCTGTTTTTTTTTTTTTTTTTCCCTTTCCTTCACTCGTCACATGACCTTCTAACGCTGTTGTCTCTGAAAGCATCAACACGCTAAGACAATATTGCTCCGAGATAGTTTGGTTTCCCTGAGCGGGAGCGATTAAAGGTTGTGAAAACACCGCAGCAGCAGGTTGTTGTGGAAGCTCCGGGATTGATTCACGCCACTGTCACATGGGCGAGGAGTGAAAAAAACAAAAATAGAAAATCAAAACTCTGAAATGCACTTTATGTAGATTAAAATTATTATTATTAAAAAAACAAAACAAACAGTGGTTCCAAAATAAGGGGCGCAACCCCCTAGAGGCACAGAGGTTTTGCAGGAGGGACTGAGGCAGATAAATTTCAATTTTGGAAATTGGGTAAAACAGTTTTTTTATAAATTAAAGTTTTTTTTGCTGTAAATGTGTCAACATAGGGGGTGTGGGCTTCACAATGGTACATCCATAAAAGGACGGGGCTGCAGTACAGTAAAATAAGAGCTGGAGTGAACGGATGGGTCGGAATCACAAGCCGAGTGGGGCGAGGTCACAAGGTCAAAGGTCACCGGGGGTCAAAGAGGCGAAGGGTAAAAAGCAGACAGACCAGGTGACGTAGTCAAACTACAGCACTGACTTTAGGACTTGAAAGGACACAGTGGGCGTGGCTTCCACATGTACATCACAACAATTCACTGCGGTATTGCACCGAGTACTGCAGTAGTAGTAAGTACTGTGCAGGCGGAGAAAAAAAAAAAAAAACCTAGATGTAAATGTGACGGACAGTCGTTTCGACCAGGAGGCACTTCAGTCTCAAACAGACGGCGAAAAAAAAAAAAAAATTGCAAAATTGTCAGACAGAAAAAACATGAAAAAAATAAAATAAAATAAAAACAAAAAGATTTTAACGTCCACCTCTCCGTTCCCGAAACGGAATAAAAGTGTCGACGCGGCAGGATTTTGTTTGCGATTGTCAAAGGGGGACGGTTTTTTAGAATACACATATACATGTATTCCTCCAAAAGGAGGACTTAAATGGGAGTGGACTCAAGAGGACTCAAGTGGGAGTGGGTGTGTCCGGTCGGGTGACACTGACGGGGTGTTTGAATACTACCACTACCACTACTGCAGTATTTCAGGTTATACTCCTGAAGCAGAAATATTTAAACATCTGGGACACTTTGTTGGTCGTCCACCCTGCAGGACAGTCGAGGTCACTACAGGCAAGTGTCACTAAAATACGTCTAAAATATATTTTTATTTTTAACTTTGAAAGTTTACAACATTTACCAACAAGGGGAAACAGGCTCTTAAGTTTTGTTGTGCTTACAGCACCCTCTGCTGGCTATATATATACAGTGCCCTCCAAAAGTATTGGAACGGCAAGGACAATTCCTTTGTTTTTATTGTATACTGAAGACATTTGGGTTTCAGATCAAAAGATGAATATGAGACAAAAGTTCAGAATTCCAGCTTTTATTTCATGGTATTGACATCCAGGTGTGTTAAACAACTCAGGACTGAGCCCCTTTTCTTTGAACCCACCCACATTCCAAGTGAGAAAAAGTATTAAACAGACATTATTAACATAAATTAAATTAAAATTAAAATGTAATATTCGGTGGCGTTACCCTTACTTGCAATAACTGCATCGAGCCTGCGACCCATTGACCCATTCACCAGGCTGTTGCATTCTTCATTTGAAATGCTGTTCCAGGCCTTTACTGTGGCCTCTTTCAGTTCTTGTTTGGTTCTGGGGGCTTCTCCCTTCAGTCTCCTCTT